CGCCCGCCGAGGCTGCTCCCAAGATGTCCATGACCACCAAGGAATGGGTCATCCCGCCCCGCCCGAAGCCCGGACGCAAGCCTGCCACCGACACGCCCCCCACCAAGCGCAAGGCCCAGAACCGTGCCGCCCAGCGTGCCTTCCGTGAGCGCAGGGCCGCGAGGGTTGGCGAGCTGGAGGAGCAGCTCGACGAGCAGCGCGATGTCTACGAGAAGACCGAGAAGGAGCTCAAGGACAAGGTCCACGGTCTGGAGATGGAGCTGCAGTCCTTCAAGTCCCGCTGCGTCCTTTTGGAGACCCTTCTGGAGCGCGAGAGGAAGGACCGTGTCAAGGCCGAGACGGAACTCGAAGGCCAGAAGAGACGCATGCAAGATCAGCCCTCGAATGCCAGACGCCAGCTGTCACCCATCCGCCGGGACTCGTCAGTCACCATGAACCACGAACCCCCTACTCCCTCGGTTGGCCACTCGAACCAGCCCTTTTCAATCTCTCAAATCGTGTCACCTGAGGACTCTACCCAGATGGAGGACTCGCCGGCCCCGTTTGGCTGCGGGTCATGCGGCCCTGATGGAAACTGTCAATGTGCCAATGACGTTCTCGCGGCCCCCCTCGCCGACTGCGGAGGCTGCACCCTTGGCGGTCGTTGCCAGTGTCTCGAGGACACCATCAAAAACGCCATCATGTCGGATCTCAAGCGGGCACCCTCTCCCTCGGCCGTGACTTCTTCCGAGAAGCGTGCACGCATCGAGCCGGCCCATGCTGAGGAGACCGAGATCGACTTTACTGCCATGTTCTCCAAGAAGGCGGCGCCTGCGCCGCCGCAGCAGTCCTTTCAGATCCTCCAGCCCCAACCACTTCCTTCAATGTCCCTCAAGGACTCGTGTGGGTTTTGTAAGGACGGAAGCTACTGCGTCTGCGCCGAGGATGCCATGTCGCTCGGCCCCCCAGCTACCACCCCTTACGGACCTCCTCCCGCCTACTCACAGCAAACCACCCCTCCCCCTTCAGAGAACGACGCAGTCCCTCCGCCCATGGAGATCGACTCCGACGGTGCCGTCAAGCTCCGTCCTCGTCCGCAGACCACTCAACCCACCGCCCCCATCTCTCGCGGCTGCGGTCCCAAGGGCCCCGGAACCTGCGCCCAATGCCTTGCTGACCCCAAGTCCGGCCTCTTCTGCCGCGCTCTCTCGGCAAATTTTGAGCGCAAGGGCGGCGGCTCCGGAGGCTGCTGCGGCGGTGCCGGACCGGGAGGCGGATGCTGCAAGTCCGAGTCAGCGCCTCCTCGTCTTCCCTCCAAGGAAAAGCTCGGCCTGAGTCTGAGCTGCGCCGAGGCCTACCAGACCTTGTCCAGCCACAAGAACTTCGAGAAGGCCGCGGACGATATCGGCTCGTGGCTGCCTAAGTTGCGTGCCGCGCCCAAGCCCGGCCAGACTCTGCCCTCCCCGTCGCGGCTGCCCATCGAAGTCGAGGCTGCGAGTATCATGAGCGTGCTCAAGGACTTTGATATCCGCTTCGGAAGAGGACAGTAGACCCGTTGTTTGTTTCCGGTTTTTACGTGGGCGGTTATCAAAAGCCTGATTTTATTAATACCATGGTAATGGTAAGAGGAGGAACTGAATTATGTGAATGGCTTTGACGTGGGATGAAAAAGAAATTGGCGTTCCGGTCTAGGAGATAGTTATATCTACCTGTGTAAGCGGCGCTGATTGCGTCTGGGGAAGCTTACGAAACTTATGGAGAGGTGTTGCATGGCTTTTCGGTCAAAGCCGTAGGTGGTTTTCGTGAACCTTTTTAAGTTAGTATCGAACATCTCGGGTTACAAAGTACCTTGAGACGAAGAAATACAGATGATCTTGATCGTAAGAATGACTTGTTCCCTTTCGTGTTCGAAACGGTCGAGGAGCTGCAAATTTGGCATGACTTGAGTATTCACGGCGATGCTATGACTTCTCGCTTAGTGGTGCTTGCCGCTTGAGTGATACAAACACGACAACTTGGCAACGTATTGGTTCGACAGCACGGCAATCATATTGAATGGACGATGTTACAATCAACTTTGTCAGTCGACAGACAGGCTAGGTACTGGTGATGCAAATCTTCGCAACGCTTCTGGCAACTCTTGTTCGGATTGAGGAAGGGTCTTGAGGTTGTTTTGGGCGTATTCAGCCATGTATGTCTCCCGAACGCTGGTGGGGGTGAAGGGCAGAGAAGCCTGCAGGCTTGCTTTGTGGAGTATGGAGGAGGTTGATTTGGATGCTGAGGTCCTGTTATGGATGTGCAGCTGAATTATGTCATTGCTGTCAAAGACGAAACTTTCAAATCGGTTCGTTTCTGTGGTTTTCTCAAACTCAGTGTCGGAAAGGTAATTTATATTAGGCTTGTGTAGCTCGTTGAAGACGGCCAAAGCGGCATGGGGGTTTGTCGCTCAGTCTACAAACCAGTATGTCCCTGGCCATCAGCAGCGCAGAGAGTTCGTAAAGCTGATGTGGCTACATAAACATCTCAGACAGGTGTGGGTTGATGCGCCCGCAAGTCATTCGGTGGACATATTCTGCATCGTGAGAAGAGTTGACTGTAGGCAACCCCATCACCGCTCAGTGGAATACGGTCGGCCAGCGGATGAACCCGGGCTCGGTTATCTACACCGCGATGATCAGTCTGCGAGTGTCCTTCTCTTATTCCGCTGCACATAATACGCCGAGGGGGACAGACAGAATCAGACGCGCTGCGAGTTGTACGGCTCCGGGATCCTGATTCTGGAAGCGAACAATGACTTGAAGTCTTCGGGAGGCAACTCGCTTTGCTTTCCAGTCTGTTTGAAGCAGTCAACAGGTAAAGAATGCACTCGTTGTCCTGACCACGTGTTGCTGCATGCAGTCTCTCAAGTACCTAAGGAACGTTGTGGTATCGTGAGGCGAATGGCTCCCATGCAAGTATTACACGTTTCTTTGGGTACTAAGATCAACCTGTCTCTTCATTTTTAGGGATTACAAACACCGGCGATGGGGTGCCATCAACACAGTGGCTATTTGTTGAGAGAACTAAGGGTACATAGGTAACTAGGAACGTACTGATCTCGCGTGTCTACATGCTCACGTCTTCTTCCCTTCGGTGATTATTGCATCTGCATCTACACCCGATGATGAAGAATGACGGGGAAGACCGACTAGACAACGAGTAGTGTTGAACCGGGCGCCTCTGTGCGGTTCTCTTAGAGGCGAGGTGAGGGCCTCAATCAAACTAGTTCGCTGCTAGATTGAATTATCGAGCTGGAAGACTTACCATTCTTTGCCTACTAATCTAAACCCAGAAAGTCTGTGTTTTAAATACTTCAATAAACGGGTGGATATTTCTGCCCCGCAACCGGAATCTGATAGGCACGACTGGAAACTAACTGAGTGTGTGTTTAATCCTAGTGCTCCTTGACTTCTGCGATATAAATACATTGCAAAGCACACTTTCTCTTCTTGACAATCAGGGTAACATGCGCGAATGATGTTCTTGAGAATCCCGTCACACAAGTGTATGCTCCGGTCATCTCTGCTGCCAACCGTTGAACCAGGGAACTTGGATTTGGTCGGGAACCGCGGCACACCGGTATTCATCACACAATAAACGACTGCCGGAAATAGATCACGGTGAAAATAAATGCGTCGTCGAAGATATTCTAGCCCCTCGTGCTTTCCACAACTCCTCTTGTAGCCGTGGTTTCTTTGCTCGCATTATGAAAGCCATTTACTATCTAGGTTGCGGTGAACCCAACATTCTTGCTACGAGATCACTAACCGCATGCCGCAAGACCTTTTATAAGACATTTCTCTCAGAAGTAGAGACTCTGCCACGTCGGTATAAGTTATACCAGAAGGCTGCAAACCATCGAGAGACTGCAAGCAAAATGTAGCCAGTTCGATCTCTGCTGTAGGTTTCGGGCTGGCTCAAACGGAAGCGCTCTATCGTGACAAACGGCGGCCTGAAGTCGTCTTCACAAGTACGGGAAATGGGTTATTTCTTATGAATCAGTATTTCCCATTATCTTCTGTGTATACAACGTTGAATAATGCGGGAATGGTTTGGAGCTCCACTGGGGGCGACGAAAGTGCTGTCAACAGATCGATCATTAAACGAGAAGCTACCAAGACTGAAATTCCAGAAAGATAACATTCTTTTTCATCACATGCAGAAACTAGACATATTTCTTTGCTGTGGAGTCAACGACAGTGGACACTAACAGGCCAAATATAATCCTCCTCTGAACGCCCGCTTCTTGGCCGGCTTGTCTATCCATGTGCTGTACTGGCTGCTCTCAGCTCGAATTCAAGGGCTTCCGAGAGAGCATTAGAGGAACTAATTGACGTGATTTGTGTATAAAAGATCCATAGCTGTCGTCAGATCCTCGTCAGGAGTTAACACAGCCAATGTAGCCCTTCCCTTTAAACCTTCTATCGTTGCCACTGCCCGTGGGGTTTCCGCCGCGCGGAGGCCCTAGTATTGGTCGATACCTCCATGTGCAAGCTGAGATTTTTCCAGTGGTGTCAGATAAATCCAAGAGCATCTTCCTCGACCTATTTGTGATGGATACTTGCATGATGATGCGGCACGGCAGCAGCTTGACTGTATTACGAAACAGTTGCAACAGGTTCAGTCCCTTATTCACCTCTACCTAGGTATGGAATCAAGTTTGAAGCTACCCGACGAAACCACAGCTAATTGCCCGTTCTGAACAGACGACATGAGCTACAGATTTGGCTTTTGTATCGAAAGCTTGATCATTGCAGGCCGAAAGTCTATTTGGCTGCGGTCACGCCGACTGTTGATAGACAGTGTCAAACTTTATCATCATATTGAGCTAAGAAATGGGGAAGTCGGGGACACGCGGTCTTGATGGAGGAGGCATGAGAACCTTGGATCTTGGCCTCAATTTTTAAACATGCATTTCAAACCCGATCAACAACAGGAAGAACCACTAGCTGGAATGTTACATCTCGCCTAAAGCTCACGGGATGCTATTCGCGAGGCTCCTCTCGTTTTCAGGACTGAATCATATCCAGTCAGTCGTGCAACCTAGTTTTCTGAAGCATGCTCTGCAGGCAGCCAATGTTTTACAAACCAGGAACTACAACGCCAGTCTCGGCCTTTGGCCGGATGAGAATCATTGGTGGCAATCTGCTCGATGTCTTACGGCTCTCATCGATATCGCGGCGATCGATACGAGTTTCAAGTCGAATGTCACGGCAATTGTCGCGCATACGTACGAAACGAACAAGAGTAAGGGCGGTGGAAACTTCACCAATGACTACTACGACGACGGCGGCCGGTGGGCTCACGCGTTCATCAAGGCCTCAGATATGACCAAGGGTACTGAACATGTTATGCCAGAGTACCTTGAGACGGCCAGATTCATATTTGATAACATGACGGATGCGTGGGGAACGAAGTGTGGCGGCGGCCTTCCATGGAGGAGAAGCGATCCTCAACCGTATCTCGGGGCCATTCAGAACGAGCTCTATCTCAGCGTCGCAGCCCACCTCGCGAACCGTGCAACCTCGGCCATGGAGAAGAGCAAGTATCTGAATGGGGCACACAATGAGTGGTCCTGGTTCAAGAACAGCGGTATGATCAACTCCGAGGGAATCGTCAATAATGGGTTGAATGATCGTTGCCAGAACGACATGGGAACAACCTGGACGTACAACCAGGGGGTAATTCTCGAGGCTCTTGTTGAACTTGACAAAGCAACGCCTGGTGGATGCTGCTTGGATGATGCAAACAGAATTGCGCAGGCTGTGCTGAAGAACAGAAATTTGGTCAACGAGCGGGGCATTCTCCGTGAGCCTTGCGAGACGACTGGCAAACCATGCGATGGGGATCAGAGGTTGTTCAAGGGGATATTTACTGACGGGCTGGCAAAGCTACATAAGAGCAGCCCTCATCGTAGCTATCGACAGTTCTTGGAACGAAACGCCGAAGCCTTGTGGCAGAATGGTTCAAGAGACGGACAGATCTCTTTGCGTTGGAGCGACCCCTTCAATGAGACTGAGATGGATGTTGGGACTCAGTACTCAGGCCTGGCTGCTCTGGTCGCCGCTGCGTCAGTTCAGTGACTCCTCAACTTTGGTGCTGAGCTTGAGGGAGTTGCCAGAGACTCAGAACTTATAAGCTGACGAGGGATTGTATTGCTGCGTTGTCTAGAATCCGGCGTTAAAGAAAGCCAGTTGCGCTTTCAAGTTTCAAGTCACTGCCAAATCACCGTTGCATTTGGAACCAATATTTTAAAGAAAGCGCACAGCAGCTTCGATTTTCAATTCAAAACGGCACTTATGCTCTTGACCCGATGTTCTATAGGAGATTCAGAGAAAAAAGGAAAAAGAGAGACGTTGCCCGTGACCATAGGAAAGACAAAGAGGACAGAGAGAGAAAGAGAAAAGAAATGGTTTTTGTGGTGTACATCATCCGTCATCCCCCATAACACCCAAACTGGTTTGATGTCATGTCGTGGTTGGCGAAGTCGCTGCCAGGCCCGATCGGCTTCATCGTCGCGAACTCAGAGGTCGTTGAGCTGGCTGGCTAGGCTTCGAGGCTGCGGCGAATGCATTTAGCAGGCGGTGTCGAAGGCGACGAAGGTCTGGCCGTCGGTGGGGGCAGGGAGCTGGGAGGCGGGGACGTTGAAGAGGCGGCACTCAACGGGCTCGTTGGCGGAGGGCTTGCCGAACTCGACACTGAGGGGGTTGTTAGTCTGATGTCTGTCAGAGAGGGGTGAGACGAGTCTGAGACTTACGCCTGGCAGCCAGAGGTCTGCTTGCAGAGAGCAAGGCAGGCGTCCTGGGTGGTGATGTCCTCACGGGTCAGGAGAGGAGTGGGAGCGCTGGTGGCAGGGCCGGTGGGGGCGGCGCCGCAGACGTTGCGCTTCTTGGGCTGGTCCTGGTTCTGGCCGTTGTTGGCGTTGGCATCACCGTTGTTGGTGGCAGCGCCGTTGTTGGAGCCGTTGTCGGCCTGGGTAGGGGCGGTGGTGGGAACACCGGTGCAGGCCTTGTCGAAGACCTTCAGGTTGGCGTTGGACTGGGTGGGGATCTGGGCGGCGGGAACGTTGTACAGCCAGCAGAGGGGAGTGTTGCCGGACTCAGGGAGGCCGAAGACGAAGGCCTGGCAAGAGGCGTCAGCCTCGCAGAGCTTCTGGCAGGCGTCGGCGGTGGCAGCGGTAGGCTGGGAGAAGGGAGCGACGTCGGCGTTGGTAGCCGCGGAGGGAGCAGTGTTGCACTGGTCGCGGCGAGCGAGAGGGCCGGCCTGGGCGGCGGCGGCGAAGGCAATGATGGTGGCGATGGTGAACTGCATTTTGAAGGTTGGTGGGTTGAAAAGTTGAAGAACTTGAGAAAGTTGTTGAGTGAGTGAGTGAAATGTGAGAGAGTGGTTGGTGCTGAAGAGCGGAAAGTGTTTGTTGTTGAGTTGAGTGATTGATGCTTGAGTGTGCTGTGTGATGAGCAGAAAAGAATATTGAATCTGGAGGTGGAAAAGGTTGTCTTTTATGTTGGAGATGAACTTCTCCTGAACACAGCAAACATCAAGATGATGTCTTGTTGATCCACGTTGTTGGACCACGTTCAACTCTGCAAGTCCACCATGTGGTGAAGCTTACGACGACGTCGAAGCGGCTCGACACTCAGCCTCTCTGCGGATAACCTTGCTGGTAGCTGGGGCACGGTCCCGAATGTCACCCTGTAGACGTGAGGTCTTCGTCACGATCCGCCAGGGGTAATCGATAAGATGCGTTCTATTATCTGATAATGTGGCGGTTCGGGATCATGCTGAGAGTCCACATTGCCGGGGAATTCACGGAACAAGCTCATGGATGTGGGCGTGTTTCCTTAGTTCATCTGAGTGGCTCAGCTAAAGGCGTGAAACATATCCTCCTGGCATGTATATCCCAGTGTAAAGAGACAGTCAGGAGTCGAATTGCTACAAACCCGTTCCTCAATCAGTATTACTGGGGCGAGAGCGAGTTCTCGTGCCGGGATATCCATCTGGGCAGTTAATTGACAGATGTCATCGGGACGGAATGAGCGATGGGTATCCCGTGTGGCGGACAACCGACCAACATCCAATTTCCACCACAAAAGAGACGGAAAACGCATGAACCACGATCTCGGTACTGCAGCCGTTGGCTTGACAGCCCTGTGGCGCAGGAGGAAGACGGTCCGTGGTGGACATCCCGTAGAGGGAGACCCCTGCTTAGCACCCTCCCAAGCTTTGCGGCTCCCGACGCCTATTCCCCCACCCCCACATCCCAAAATAGGTCCCGGAAACCCCTGTGCCTTGAGGGGACAACTTGTTCAGGAGAACCTTTTGCCCTTTTGCCCTTTCCACGGCCCGGGAGCCCCTCCGTCCACGCGGGTCAACACTCTACGATGCCCAATTCTTCGCGGTCCATTGTCCCAATAGAGACTCTGAGACCGGGGGACCTGCCAGAAACAGTCGTCAGTGAGCCCACAACGCCAGCCGCAGCAGAAAAAGTTGCGCTCTAAAAATTATGCTTCCAATTTCCCCCCAGAAGTCTGTTAGCAGACTGCCTTAGCGCGAAGCCTTCTAGGGCAGACGAGGACCACTTTTGCCTCGGCCACCATTGGAGCAGAATCGCTGTGGCTGGCACCGACTGCCGCTTCTGCGTTGACCAACTATTAACTCACCCGCTATATGGTGATCGACTGCGGCGGTGTAGATGACGAAGCCCTCACTGGGACTGGAGGACTTGTTCTCGAACATCGGATGATCGGCACCATACACATCATAACCCCCTCAACAACAGCTATCCATTTGTCGAGTGTTTTTGCTGCATCGTTGTGCGTCGTCATCACAATAGGGATTGCTGTAGGGTTCTGAGAAGCTGGTGGTTCGTCGGAAGTTCAGCTGAAAGCTGGTACCCGCTGCGCTTGGACTGAGGTTACGAATTCTGGCAAGAGTTTACTGGCCGGGAGTTTCAGTCTTAGGGGCAAGGCAGACTTTACAATGTTTCTACCGTTTGGTTTCGAAATAATGAGAAAGCCTAAGCTGGTTTCTGGCAGAGGTCATGCAACAAATTTTCTGGCATACATACTACTGCATCACTGGCGTGCTGGTTACAAAGGTATTGGCGAACATGACAAGAAACCGGATGTTGTGATTTCATACCACAATGTTGTGATGCCATAGTGACAACAACAAAACGTAAACAAGGCTTCCCATCACCAGGAATAATTTGACTCTGTCAAGATTACTAGGAAAACCATGCTGCACGCGTAGAATATGACACGCTAAAAAGAGCCAAGTTTTCAGGCTAAATGGAGCAAATTGAACTTAAGCGCGCAGGCATGTCCCCGGGGAATGTGGGAGAGATTCGTCACCTTGGGTAGCCCGCAGTGAAGATCGGCGGCTCATCTAAACATTGAAGTTACCCAAATACCCAAAAGAAAGTGTGGAGGAGGGCCCGCGGGACCCGGATAACCGGATGCAGCACTCAGGAGGAATAGCATGATGACTTGCGTACTTCCTTGGGGGTTGTGAGAATGCAACGAATCCGCCTCGACATGTTGACCAGGGCGTACGGACATTGACCAAACTTGCTCGAAATACCGCCCAACCAGACCGACTGGGAGTGGCATGCGGTAACTTTCGCTTTCTGAGGCCGTCAACATTTGCGCCCACATGCCTAGACGGATAATGAGGGCCGTCATAGCGGTAAGCTGACATGAGGTGAGATTACAATGCGATGGGAGTTTCTGTTGCAAAAGTAAAATTTAGTAGGCTGATTGAATCAATTCGACTCGGAACGCGTGGCCATAGATGATGCAATCGAAGATGATGAGCAAGTCTACTGCCACTTCTTTTCCCAGGCACGGAGTAGAAAAAAGCGAACGATCGTGCAAGTGTAGATTATTTTCATCCCTGTAGATGAAGCAGCTGCTGTAAAGACGTTGAAAAATCGGATTTTTGGGGCTTCTGGGTAGTCGATTTCTTTCCTTGGTGATACTCATACTACGTACTTCAAACCAAGAATCCAATGACATCAGATATGTGGCACGATGATGGAAGTGACTTTGGAAATCGCGAAAACGACAGCATCACAGAGATCGGATATGCAGAGTGAGTTAAGCACTGTTGTGGCCAGAGAGGACTTCATACAGAGCCAGAAGAACAACAGCCATAGTGACCACAGGCTGTCCAGAAGTAGCGGCAGCAACTAGTTTCTTCATATGAGCTCAGAACACACGTGAACGCACACGTGCCATGTTCCAGCGCGCTCCTGGAAACCTCAGTGTCGAAATTCGGGATGAGGGAGAGATTCCGAGTTTCAAAGGAAAGCCCTCTGTGCGCCACATATTCACTTTCTGATAGCTCACTGCGTGCCACTCTGAAACGTCACTACTCCGATATTCAATAGTAGAAGTGCTTCAGCCTTGGAACCGGCGCCACTCTCGGAGGCAGCTTGGAAAGCATGTTGTATGAGCGGGATTTCTATGAGCATGTTCATCATTCTATCAAGTTAGTGATTCAATCCAGAGTAAGATAGACCAAGATAAAGTTTCACTCCTCTTATAAAAGTAACTAGTATTAAGCGTTTCGGCTTTTGTAAATCGAATCTGTATAGGTAGAGCTCGTTCGCTTGTGAGTCGAATTCGCGCACAGGATTATCACAACACATAATGCGCACGCCAGTTGGTATGTCTTCGCAATTTTCGTATTGGAAGAATTCAGTATGCTCTTCAAGTATTCTTCATGAATTAGTCGAAGATGATAAACATCAGTATTCTTTTTACGTACTCGATGGGCTAATCGTTAAGCCTCGAAGTTCTCGTTGCTTGAACATTGGCTCGAAATCAAGTGCACGCAACTCTAGGTGTGCAAATCCTGACCAGGCTCAGTACATTCTGCTTAACATTTTAAACGTTAGAAAGCAAGCTTCAGTTTCATAGCAATGTTGTTTCTATTGTTAGTCGCAGTCAATATGTCTTTAAAAGCCATATCGTATCCCATTTATGAAGTAGGTTGTAGCACAATATCTTTAGATGATATCCCAGCTTCCGAGCGAGATCAACTTCATCGACGGCAAAAAATCTCATATCCGTCATGATCA